GGGGGTGGGGGGGGGTAGGGTACAGGAGGGGGCGAGTGTCAGGCGCCCTCCGCACAACAATGGCCCTGTGTGAACCTACTCCATATGATTGCAATTAATCACGCGCTATGAGTGATTGGTTCTCGTCAGCTCGCCCTGCTCGCCCGCACCGCGCGCCCATGGGCCCCGCGCCCCGCGTGTTCGATAGCACGCCCGGGCCAGGCGCCATGGGGCGTTATCCGCAGAGGGCGCGCAGCACAGGCATGTGGGCGCCACTTTTTTTTATTTTCTGCTTAAAAAGTTTATACTTGGGTTTATTTCGTTTCATTACATGAGAGCGGCGCCAGGCGCCAGTATGGTCGCCGGTCCCTCGCTCCCGCCCCGGCCGAGGTGTCCAACCAGCAGCGCAGCAGCAGGCTCCACATTCAATGTTCAGCCTCTTTTGTGTCGCGGGCGCGCGCACACACACTTTTGCTCTCGCTTACACACACACACACACACACACACACACACACACACACACTTTTGCTCTCGCTTACACACACACACACAGTGGCAATGCTGGCCGGATTGGGCCCCGGGTCCTGTAATCAAACCCGCACTGCACCGACAGGGCACCGCGCCACTGCCGCGTCAGGCCGGAATCGCCTGCAGCCGAGCCGTGCCTTGCCCTGCCCTGCCTCACCCTGGCCCTGCCCTGCCCTCTGCCCTTTCGCTCCCCCGCCCCTCCCCCAACATCTCCAACATCGCCGCACCGTGCACAGCCACCGCCATCACTACCGCCACCATCACCGCCGTCGTCGCGGCCGCCGCCCGCCAAACCTCCTCGACGGCGTGGCAGGTGAGTGCTACTCGAGACGCGAGAGTGCCCCGGGCGGGCGGCCAGGAGGAGAAGGACCGCGATCACCATCTGAATGGCCGCCATTACACAACACGCACCCCTCCGGCCTCCTGCGGCAGCGCGGCGCACAGGCGCGGCGAAGTACCATCACCGCACGATCAACACTTTGGCCACTACATAACCTCTAACTACCCCAGCGCCACGCCTGCCGCCACCTCCCCCGCGCTGACACGGCCGGAACTGTTCTGGGGGCGGCGGCGGCGGG